AAGAACCAGACCAACACAAGGAAAAACTAACACAAGCGGAGTTGTTCGCATTTGGAATATTTTGTCTGATGCGGTAGTATTTACAACCAACATTAGGAAATTATTAAGTGCGAAGTAAAAAAAAAAGGACACGGGGATGGAGAGAGGAGTGGGATTGATTAGAGTGTTTTTTGAAAGAACCAGTGTGGACTTGATAGATCAAGTAATCTTCTTCTATAGTAAATCCTGCTGAACAGAATATTGCCAGCAAATTGAGAATGATGCTCTAGACTCGGATAAAACACAAAATAAATGTTCCACCTGTTTGGTATGGCTGCTTCTGGCTTAAGTTTTGGCCTTCAGTACACATTTGCAAATTTGCTTTGCTGGAAGTAACTACAAAAAAGGTGGCAACCCATATTTAAAGATGTACAATTGCATCGTGGAATGCAACTGCTCTAGCTGCAAGGAACATAACATAAACATCACTTCCAAAATGTTGTGTGCCCTGAAAGATAGTTTAATACCAACAAGACTTAGCAAAAGCAAGATGGTTTCATAACTCAACATGATATGTTTTCAGTAGAAAACTTATGGCTAAGTATACAGTGCTTGATCTCGTTTTCATTTCCTCCAGCAGCAAGCATACAAGATCAATGCTCCAGAATTCAGGGAGTTACTGCAATTTTTTTTTTTGTTTGTTACAGACAAAAGCAAAATTGCTTTAAGCCTGTCCTGTCACTGTCTGTTAGGAGGAAAAGTTGCTAATAAAGGACTACCCTTCGGTCATCTTTGACAATGGGCAACGCTATGCCACCTCTTATTAAATGCAATCCATATCAGTGGACCCAAATTTCTTTTAAAATTATCATCTTCTGTCTGTGTATAGCAGGATGTCACTTTTATAGCACCACTGAGATATCGGACCTGTCAGCACAGTTAATTTTCGACTTAGTCTCAACACCAGGGTTTCTTAGCCATAGGCTGTTTTTCACTACACTAACAGGATTTATTTTACAGTTATTCAGATCAGCAAGGAGCACTAATATAGCTGTTCAGTTGGAAACTACCCAAGACACAATAATAAAAAAAACTTGATTGTGCAGCATTTTCCAACGTTTGTTGCAGAATTAACAACTTTACGTCTAAATGACTTAAATTAGTTCATTGCATCATATAATCTGGGTAGTCCTCTGTATAATTTCACTAGGTTTCCCTGAGACAAAAAGCAAGTTGCCTCCCTGTGCCCCAAGGTAGCCGTTATTGGCATGGGAAATAGACATAATAAAACTGCAAATAAATTGCTTCTATAGTTGCCCACAGGACAACCTCGATGATTGTTTATTGTCTGGGATGCAATCTTGGATTACCCAAAGCTATGTTTTAAGTGAATGTGCCATTTTGTAAGCATTATAAAACAATTTCTGACTACAGTTTTGATGACATTATAAAACAATTTCTGACTACAGTTTTGATGGCATTTCTTGTAACAAAACAAAGTTATCTTGTCGGATCAATTTATTTTTTTAGTACTCGTCATCTTCAAAACGGTTGGCATAAAGCAGAATTCATTTGATAATTGGTACACAACACACCCATAAATGCAGATGTTTGTAGCAATGCTGATAAGTGGTTCTGCACGTAGTGTCTAAATCTGCATCTTACAAAATCTCTGAACTTACATCACTGCAGTTGTAAATTTAAAATATATAACTGACTAGTAATACCCAACTGAAAAAAAATGCATCGGCATTGGAGGGAATCCATACAGTGGAACTACTTTGCCAACTGCCAGGAACAATATGTTAAAAGACATCATCATAAGCATTATTTAACTTAACAATATTGGCTGAATCTTCCAGTGCCAACAGCATCTGTGCGTCAGGAACCTTTAGAAATTCTAACCCACAGAATTACACGGTAATTGCCCAGAACACAGAATCCTCAGACAGGCAGATTTGCGGATATGCCCAAGCCCCTCCCAAAACTACTGCACTTACAGTTTCGCAATAGTCAACCAAACCGTACGCTTCTATTGTCCCGTCAATTTCTGACATAGGTTAATACTTACAGTCAAGCTAAACTCACCATTTGACTCACTTTAACCCCATTCCACAAGTCCTATCCACCAGCACCTGCAACCAACCGCACCTCATCCAACCCTCCCTGCCAAATCACCCAAAAACTCACCTCACTCTCATATCCCTCCACTGACTAGCTCGCCTCATTAAAACACTTCAGGTCTTTGAAAACAGACCTGAACATAGCAGCTGGTGTTGAGTCTTTTAAAAAAAAAAGTATGGCCTGTCAGTGCAAAAAGACATTTTGCTGACCCCAGAATATCACAATTTAATTTTTGCGCCGGTGTGACACCAGGTATACAGGTCATAGGTCCCAGCCATTAGCCAATTAAACCAAATATTATGATTCTTCCTTTTTTTCTGCAACAGGCAGAATACGGACCAGTCATCAAGCCCCTGCTTGCAAAACCCAAACACGCTGTCTAGTATTAGAAGATGCAATCCCATGACTGGTTAGTAAGGTTAGATCATATGGGATCCATGGAGAGCTAGCCAATTGGATACAAAATTGGCATGATTGGCAGGGTGGTGGTAGAGGGATGTTATTCAGAGTGGAGGTCTGTGGCTAGTGGTGTGCCGCAAGAATTGGTTCTGGGCCCACTGTTGCTCATCATTTATATCAATGATTTGGATGTGAATATAGGAGGTATGGTTAGTAAGTTTGCGGATTACACCAAATTTAGTGGCATAGTGGACAGTGAAGAAGGTTATCTAAGAATACAACAAGATCTTGATCAGATGGGGCAATCGATGTGAAGTGGCAGATGGAGTTTAGTTTAGATAATTGCAAGATGTTGGATTTCAGTAAGGCCAACCAGAGCAGGGCTTACATAGTTAATAGAAGGGCCCTAGGGAGAGTTGTTGAACAAAGGCACTCTAGGGATGCAGGTTCACAGTTCCTTGAAAGTGGCGTTGCAGGTAAACAGGGTGGTGAAGGCAGCATTTGGCCATGCTTGCCTTAATTGGTCAGAGCATTAAGTATAGGAATTGGGACGTCGTGTTGCAACTGTATAAGGCCAATTTTAGAATCTGCATGCAGTTCTGGTCATTCTTGGAAGAATGTTGTTAAACTAGAAAGAGAACAGAAATAAAAATTATAAGCATATTGCTGGGACTCGAGGATTTGAGTTAAGGAGAGCCTGGATAGGCTAGGACCTTTTTTTTTCCCTGGAGCATCAGAATTTGAGGGGTGACCTTTTGGAAGTCTATAAAATCATAGGAGGCATAGATAGGGTGAATAGCCAAGGTTTTTTTCCCATGGTAGGGGAGTCCAAAACTAGAGGGTACAGGTTGAAGGTGAGAAGGGAAAGATTTAAAAGGGACCTAAGGGACAACTTTTACACACAGAGGGTGGTGCGTGTATGGAATGAGCTGCCAGAAGAAGTGGTGGAGACTGTTACAATTATATTTAAAAGGCATCTGGATAAGTTGAATACAGGTAGATGATTTTTTGGTCATTAATGAGTATGAGGTTTGGGTGGGGAAGTGGAAACCCAAGATCAGACATGCTCTTACTGAATGGCAGAGCAGGCTAGATATACTGTTTTGTCTTCTCTTGTTTCTTACATCATCCTGTGCAGTACTTTTTCCTGTTATGTTTAAAATTTGTTTTGCTGAGCAAAGTTGAGAAATGACTGACTTGATGCTAGGGGTTGAGTCGGAAATCATAGGTGGGGTCTGTCAGGGGAGACAGAGGAGAAGGTAACCAAAAGTCTTTCTAGGTGAAACAGCATTCCACCTGTACTTCCTCCAATCTTGTGTATTGTATTCGCTGCACCCAGTGTGGCCTACTCTACATTGGAGAAACCAAATGCAGACTGGGTGACCGCTTTGTGGAACACCTCCGGTCTGTGCACAAGCATGATCCTGACATTCCTGTAGCCAGTCATTTTAACACAACATCCTGCTCACATGTCCACAAGTCTGTCCTCGGCACGCTGCGGTGATCCAGTGAATCACAGTACAAACTGGAGGAACAACATCTCATCTTCAGACTAGGCACTTTACAGCTGTCTGGACTTAATATTGAGTTCAGAACCTTTAAACTATGAACCATTTCTTCCTTTTCTTTTAGCTTGTTATCATATCGTCGCCTCCCCCGATCCCAGTAACTGTCCTTTTGCAGGAGACACACCATTGTTCTGCCATTCTCACATTTGATCACTGGATCTGAACTATCAATATCTCTTCTCCACCAGCACCCTATACCCACAACCCCGAAACCAACCCCGCCCCCCCCCCCAACTCTCACCTCCAACACTATAGCATAAAAACTGGCCCCTCCACACTTCACTTCAGGTCTGAAGAAGAGTCATCTAGACTCAAAGCGTTCACTTGCTTTCTCTCCATGGATGCTGTCTGAACCAAATAAGAGGGCACTTCACCTGCCCAGTTCCATACACCTTGAAATATGGACACCCAATCACTATAGTTGGAGAAAAGGATGATCCCACTTTCACAGGAATTTATAGTTTTCTGGGAATAAGCATACCTGTCTTTCAGGTACAAAACGCTCTCCAGGCCCAGATTCCACCAATGGGCCCCATGTACACCTCATCTCACTCAATCTAAGTGCCCCATCCACGTACTAGGACAGAACCAACAATTCACATCTCATTACCACATCCATCATTTCTTTTCCCAAATGGCCAAAGAAAAACCTGTCCCCACCACCAAACATTTAAGCATATTCAGAAATTGTCAACAAAAATATAAAAATTGAAGACAGCCACCAAAGCCAGTACTTCATATTTGCCTTTGGGTTCCACTGGGTGCCCATTGTTCAACTGGCAAAGTCATTGAGGAACGTCATGGCTAATAAGTTTCTGAAATTGAGAAGCATCACCCACAAAGACTGTGGCACCACACTTTTCAAAAGAAAATAATTCACAAAGGAAGCAAAGACGCACATCACATGGGATAACTTAAAAGTTACAATACCTCGAACAATAAGCTCAGCAAAATTCGAAACACCAGAGCCTCTTTCAGACTGTGTCACACAACGGTACAAATCTTGATCATTCTTTTTAACTTCTTTCAATTTGAAGGATGCTGCAAACCGCCTGTGATTTATATTCTTCGTCTGGACAACTGGTATGTCTTCCCCATTTCGCCTCTGATGGGCAGAAAAATTGAAAATGTGACTATTTCTAAACATACTCTCGGACATAATTAGAGATTATCTGTTGACACCTTCCTACGTTTAGTTAATGCATTTTATAAACATCACATGTAAGAATCTGAAAATATGACATCATATTTCTATCGCGCGTACACATTCACGCCCTAATTTTCTTTATTGGTGCAAAAATACCCAGTTATTTTTCTTTTGGTTCCTGCCCACAGTATAATCCATCAATCGTTGTATCAATGACTGCAAATTTAACATTGCATGTACACTTTAAAAGAAAATGATTATAGGTCATAAATTAAATTTTGTTCCAATCTTTTGATAAGCAGTCCAAGTGACTGCATTCTAACCATTATAAAAATGCACAATTTAGTTTGGCTTTACTACTTTAAAGAATAGTAATTTCAGCCAGAGTAGCAGGAGAGATAATAAAAAAAATATCAATTCTGTCCAAAAATTTATACTTGATATTACATGCAATTATTGACAGCTTGGGGAATTTTTAAAAAAAAAACATCATTTTCAGGTGAAGTAATCCAACAGTCCTCTCAGAGAGGCACTTCTGCCTCCATTAGGCCATCTTCCATTGAATGGACTTTGCTCTTTCTACAAAAAACGTTACCACATTACGAAGCTGTCATGTCACTGCATTTTTTGAGTTTGCCAGGAGATCCCTGCCACTTTAGGTGGTTTGCAGTTATTTATTTTCTGCTGTTCTTTATTCCTTTTTTTTAAGGGGAGGTCAACATTGCTTGCAAGGACACACATTTAAATGCCTATCTGTAATTACTGGTAAACTGAATGACTGTTAGGCTATTTCAGAGGGCAATTAAGAGACAACTAAATCTCCGTAGATCTAAAGTCACATGTCAGTGCCCAGCCAATTTAGCTCATTCCAAACAAAAACACAATGTAGATGAACTTACTGGACATTACAACACTCCGACATCCCCCACGCCCAGCCCCCCGCCAAGCTTTTTTGAAGCTATAATATTGGTTATTTACTCAAAAGTGTCCAAGAAAGCCCAGATAGGGCCCACCTGCATAAAACAGGACAAATCCAATCTTCAAATAAAAGTAAAGTACTCTGAAATTGAATTCCTCTTTCAAAAAAGGAGTCATACTGGACTTAAAAGGTTAATGGTTTCCCTCTCCACAGATGCTGTTGACCTGCCGAGTTTCTGTTTTTCTCAGAAATTCAACCTTGTCAATTAAAATCTCTGTCATCTCAATGTTTTTGAATCTGAACAGTGAATGCCAGATAAAGATTGTGGAATATGTCACAACCGATTGGCTGAAAATTCTCATCTAACATTTCCATTAATTCACAATTTGCAGACGATATCAGTGTGCCAGAAATTTACTCTGAAAATCCGAAACAATGCCCAAATAGATTAAAATATCTGAAAATGAATGTGCTAATTCAACCACGCAGCAATGAATTAATGGCATCCCTTTCCAAGAGTTCACAATCAGTTCAGCCACTATCGTAATACCCAGCTCCTGGCAATACTTACACCCTACCAGGCAGGCTCAAAAGACAAATCCTTTCACCCTTGAGCTGCTGTAACTGCACACAAGTTGCAATTCAATTATTGAATTGACATTTATATTAAGAAACAGAATGAGAACAATTTTTTTAAATACTGCCTAAAGTTAGTCATTAGGTTCCCAGTTATACTTTATTTTCTGTCAGTCCATCCTATTGTACACCATACCTTAATGTATTCCCTCAACACTGTGCTGTGAGAATATGTTCCATCAAATACAGAGAAGGCACAGTTTTAACATTAGAGGCATCTGCAACAGTCTTTTCAGTAGCCAATGAAGTTAATATTGCTGTTGGCCCAGCATCTTAAACATGGATAACGGAAATCATCACAGACCTTAATACAATATTGTTAATTCAGGTACCTGCTGTCTAGCTGACAAATTAGTTACGGTGCAGAAGTACGCTATTCTACTCATCACGTCTGAACCAGCTCTTCGGGTATTTTATCTCGGTACCAATCTCTTGCCTTTTTCAGGTAATTCTGCATATTGTTTCTGTTTAAATAATCATCTAATATCCTTCTGAATACCTCAATTGAACCTGCCTCCACTCACTTCCAGTCAATGCATTCCATCTCCTAGCTACTTGCATTGCGAAAAATAAGATTTTGTTCTCACCTCATTTGTTTTTTTAGCAAAGCACTTTAAAAATGGTCTCCTCTCGTTCTCAATCCTTTTGAGAACAGGAACAATTTTCCCCCATCTGCTCAATCCCTTCCTGATCTTAAATATTATAAATCTCCTCTTAGTTGCCTCCTCCCCAAGGAAGACAGTCCCAACTTCTCCGATCTTTCCTCATATGTAAAATATATAAACCCTGGAACCATTCTCCTAAACTGCTCTTGCATTCTCTCCAAAGCATTCACAGCCTTCCTACAGTGTGACACCCAGAATTGTATGCAATACTCCAAGTTGTGCCCTAACCCACATCCAATGCCAAGTTCAATCTAACCTTCCTGTTCTTGTACCCTATGACTATATTTATGAAGTCTAGAATACAGTATGATATATTAGAAGCTCTCTCTACCTGTCCTGCCTTGTTCAAAGACTTGTACCTCTCTGTTCCTGCAGACCTTATGGAATAATACCTTTTATTTTACCTCGCCCTCAATGTTTTTTAATAAAATCTAACCCTGAACCTATCACCTCACACTTGTAAAACTTAACACATGGAGTTAATGCAACTAGCTTTTTCCATTATGAAAATATTTTCATAACAGATTGAAAAACCTTAGCTTTCAGGATAGAAAATCCTTTAGTTTTCACCTCCAAACCTTTACCTCAACTGCTTGATGCTTTTATTCTGTGGGTGGTTATACAGTCTTAGTTGAGAAAAGTTCAGAAAATCAGAACAAGTGTTTTGATGTGGACATCTTGTTTAACCTGAAAATTGCACTTTTTGGGTTATAAGTATACATCTTATTGATGTTGAAAGTCGATGCAATGTCTGCGGAGGGGAGTCAAATTTAGAAAATGCCAGTGATTATTAAAATAAGCAGCACACTAAAGATACATGACTGCTCGATTCAACTTAAAAATCTATTTCTCTTGGCAAATACCAACGGATATCTATTTGCTGAACAGACAGCACATCGAGTAGCTGTCAGGTAATTGCTTTGTAATTTACAGATGAAGTTTGATTTTTTAAGAAGATAACCAAGCACTTGTGTGTTCGAAGGTGGTATGACTTGTTATGTTCCCATGATCCTGTCGTATCTTTCTTTCTTTCTTGTACTATACTGTGCCAGCATTTTGCACGTATTGAGCTGGAAGTGACCCTTGCTGTTTAAAAGGTTAGCTATCTTCAATTTGAAGTCTTCTGGTCATTTCAGTGGAATGAAACAGGAAGTGCAAAATATCCCAAAATAACCAAGAGGTGAGTAAGCACGTTTTCATTTTTTTCCCCCCCCTAGTTGAGATGTGGGTGCCATTTGCTGAGCAAGCATTTATAGGCCAGCCCTAATTGTCCCTAAGAAAATGTATTGAGCTGCATTCTTGAACTACTGCAGTCCCTGGGGGCTAGGTACATCCACAGTGCTGTTAGGGGGGTACGGTTTCCAGGACTTATCGCAGTGACAGTGAAGGAATAGCGATATAATTTCAAGTCAAAATGGTCTGTGGCTCGGAAGCATGTTTGCAGATTATGGTGCTTCCATTCATTCCCTGCTCTTGCTCTCCAGGTGCTAGAGGTCACATATTTGGAAGGTGCCAATGGAGCCTTGGTGAGCTGCTGCAGTGCACCTTGCAATGGCACACACTCAGGATTTTGTGCATGGGGGCGGGGGAGTGAATGCAAATAATTTAACATATATTAGTTCAGGTACTCAAGACTTCTCACCGTTAAAACAAAGCATGACAAGTTAGGTGGCTCAATTTTGCAATTTACTAACATAATCATTGCTGTAAAATACAACCAATTTTCCTGTGAGTTCTATCATTGAACAATTTATAGGGATGCCATGTTTCTAATCTGTAATCTAATAAATGCTACTACACCAACTGTGCATCAGGCCTTTCATTGCACAGAATTTCAGAATTCTTCTAGTAGAGGAGGACATCATTTGGCCCAGTGTGTTTGCACTGGGTCTCTGCATGACCAACTTATTGGTGCCAGTCTCCCAGATTCATGCATAACCCAGAATATTTTCTAATTTTAATAATAAAAGTCTAAATACTTTTTGAATGCTTCAATGAACCTGCCTCTACCATATATTCAGGCAGTGCCTTCCAGGCCTCTAAGTGGATGAAAAAGGTTTTTCTCGTTTTTGCTGCTTTTGCCAATTCCTTGAAATCTCTTGTTCTTGACTCTTACCCAAGGGTGAACAGTTTCTTCTGATCTAGTCGATCTAGACCCCTCATGATTTTGAATACATCACGGAAGCCAACCTTCCATCCATGGATGCCATTTACACAGCTCACTGCCGCAGAAAGGCAGCCAGCATCATCAAAGGTCCAACACATCCAGGTAATGATCTCCTATAACCTCCTCCGTCAGGCAGAAGAGACAGAAGCTGGAACACACGCACAAGCTGGTTCAGGAGCAACTTCTTTCCAGCTGTTATCAAACTGATGAATGGACTGTCTAATTCAATAATGTAACCTGTATGTCTCGAAGTCTTTTGATCTGTACATCCTTTGCTTGCTGTGATCTGCCTGTACCACTCATAAACAATGCTTTTCACTGTATTTTGGTACACATGACAATAAATCAATCAATAAAACCAGTAGTGCACCACAAAGTGTCACATTAAATTAGTGCCAATTGAAAGCAATCATGTCAAAATCTCAATATGAACATACAGAATAGGAGCAAAAGAGATCATTTACCGTTCAAGCATGCTCTGTCATTCAACATAATAGTGGCTAATCCGTTTGTGTTCCAAATTTTTCACTTCTATCTATTCCCAATAACCTTTGATCCCCTCCAAACAAAAATCTATCCACCTGCCTTGAAAACATATTCAAAGACCCTGTTTATGTGGCAGAGATTTATAAATCACAACCCTCAAAAGATTTCTCACCTCTGTCATACAAGGGCAACCCTTAATTTCCAAACAGTGCTCCTTTTGCTGGACTGATCCACGACAGGAAATATCCTTTCCACATCCACCTTATCAAGATCATTCAGGATCTCTCACATTTGAATTGAATCATCCTCACTCTTGTGAACTCCAGCGAAAACAAACTCAACCTATTCTCACAAGACAACCTGCTCATTCCAGGTAACACAGTATGGAGCTGGAAGAACACAGCAGGCCAGGCAGCATCATGGGAGCAGGAAAGTTGACGTTTCTGGTCAGGACCCTTCTTTAGAGCCCAACCCAAAACATCAACTTTCCTGCTCCTCTGATGCTGCCTGACCTGCTATGTTCTTCCAGCTCCGTACTGTGTTATCTCTGACTCCAGCATCTCCAGTTCTTGCTATCTCTGCTCATTCTAGGTATCAATCCGGTAAGCATCCTCTGAATCCTCTCTCTCACATTTGCATTCAGAATGACAGATTGTACAAGAAGCCCATTCAGCACAGTTTTAATGTGTTCTGCACAAGAAACAGATGTGAAGAGAGAAAAATCATTTTTGCAGCAAGTAGTTAGGGTATAGAATGCAATGTCTGGATGTTGGTGGAGGCATGTTCAGATGAGGTATTCAAGAAGGTTTTGGATGACTGTTTAAATAGAAACGTGGCCCATTCAGCCCATCATGTCTGCATCATATCTGACTCTTTCAGCATTTTGATTTAGAGCCAATCTCCTCTCTGTAACCCTGTATATGTTTTTATTTAAACAGTCATCCAAAGCCTTCTTGAATATCTCAACTGAACATGCCTCCACCAACATCCAGACATTGCATTCTATACCCTAACTACTTGCTGCAAAAATGATTTTTCTCTCTTCACATCTGTTTCTTGTGCAGAACACATTAAAACTGTGCCCTCTGTTTCTCAATCTTCTTGATCACGAACAGCTTCTCCTCATCTGTCCCTAATAGTCCCAACTTTGCCAATCTTTCATCATCATCGAATTGTCTCATCCTTGAAACCATTTCGATAAATCTCTTCTGCACTCTTTCCAACACATTTACGTTGTTCTTATAGTGCGGCATCCAGAGCTGTACTCCAGCTGAGGCCTAACTATTATCCTGTAAAAGTTCAAGTTAACCTCCTCCTCTTGTAGACTGTGTGACCATTTATGAAGCCTGGAATACTTTTAGCTTTATTAACAGCTCTCTCTGTGTCCTACCACCTTTAATGGTTTAAGTAAATACATACCAGGGTCTCTCTTCACCTGTACACCCTCTGGAATAGTACCTTTTATTTTCTATTTCTCTCAGTGTTCTTTGTGCCAAACTGCATCACCTCACTCATCTCTGCTATGATCTTCATTGGTCACCTTCAGCGGCCATCTATCATTCCACCAATTTGTCAATGTCCTTTACAAGGTTACACTGTCCTTCTCAGTGTCTGCTGCAAACTTGGAAATTGTCTGATCATATTATATATATAGGAAATGCAAGGATCCAAGTTCCAACCCCTGGGGAATTCCAGTGCAAACCTTCTTCCAGCCTGATTAATATCAATTAAGCATTAATCTGTTTCCTATTCCTCAGCCAATTTTGTAACCACATTGTTACTGTTCAGTAAGGAGACCGCTACTGCACATGGTATTTAAGATCTGGCCTCAGCTCTAACCTGTATAACTGAAGCATGACTTTTAAGTTTAATTCCTCACATTAAAAAAAGATAGCATCCCATTTGCTTTGTTGATTACATGCTGATTTTGCTGAGAACCACTTCCCTGGTGATTGAACTTTCACTACCTCTTCTTTCCAATCCCATTCCTCATTTACAGTCATTACTTGGCATATATTTTTCTATGATGATACAGAAGCAAAATATTTGTTCATTTCATCTGTCATTTCTTTATTGTTTCCTATTAATTCCCATTTTCATTCTCTAGAGGACCAACATTCACTTTGCTTACATTTTCCCTTTTTCACCACCTGTAGAAACAATTGTTAACTATTTTCACTTCTGTAGCTTGATTCCCATCTCCTAAATTTTATCCTCCTATTCAACCTTTGCAATATTCTCTACCAATCTTTATGTCCTAAGCAGCTATCTGACCTCCCAATCATGCATGTGGAGTTATATGCTTTTTTCCTCAAATTTGTTTCTTTCCCTAATTTCTTTAGTTAACTTTATGGTGGGTTTTCCCTTAAAAGCTTTTTTTTTCCCCCAGTGGGACACAGGTAGCTCTCCTATGATGCAATAGTTACATTCTTGTGATTTTCCATAGCGCAAGGTCACACACTACAGAAAATCACATTATAGGGAAATCTCTATACTTGTACAGCAGAAAATTTGCATTATCCAAACAGTGTCCACTACTCATCAATCGTGTTACAGTCAATTTGCGTTAACGAAACACACATTATAGCAGAACTACCTGTATTCAGTTGGTGTATTCTGAATCACCTCCTTAAAAGTCTGCCACCGTGCCTTTATCAATTTCTCCCCATGCCTAGTATCCCAGTTCACTTTGGCTAGTTCAGCTTCCATATCCATTTAGTTACCCTTATCGAAATTCAATATAATAGTCTTGGACCCAACAATTTTACTTTTAAATTGCAAGTTCAACCCCACTGTGGTCACTGCTACTTAGGGGTTCATTTATTCTCAAGTCTTGAATTAATCCAGTCACATCACATATTACCAAGCATAACATAGCAAGTTCTCTCATCAATTCTAGAATGGGCTATTTTGCTAAACGTAAACCCTTTTGAAATCATTGTCGACTCCATATCCAGGCATCTACTGCCAATCTGATTTTTCCAATTTATATACAGATTAAAATCACCCATTATTTTTTGCTACTCCTTTATCACAAGCAAGCAATATTTCTTCACATATACTCTGTCCTAAAGTACGGTAGCTGTTTGAAAGCCTGTAGACCGCTCTCACTAGCGACTTCTTTCCACTACCATTTCTCCAAAACTGATTTTACATCCTAACCTCCTGAACAAAGGTCATCTTTAATTGTTATGCCAATGTCATCCTTGATTAAACATGCTATCCCAACTACCTTTACCTAGCTTTCTATTCCTCTCAAATCTCAGATCCCTTCAATATTTAGGACCTAATTTGCATCATCCTGAAGACGTGTCTCTACAATGACTATCACAACATATTTGTTTACTTCAATGTGCATTGCAACATCCAGTCTTGGACTGCTGACATATTCCTTGTTCACACTTCCCCACCACCTCAGCCCTTTCCTGCCATTCTCTGATCATTAATTCCCATATTACTATTTTCTTCTCTTACCATGTTGACTATTTTATATGCACATCTTTCTACATTTGATCTCTTGTCCCAGCTATTTTGTTTAATGTCTTCTCTATTTCCCTAGTTACGCAGATCACAAGAACACTGATCCCAGCATGGTTCAGGTGGAGACAAACCCAAAGTAGCCCTGACTTTTCCCAGGAGAGGGGTCAGTACCCCACAAACTGGAACCCACTTCTCCCACAACAGTATTGGAACCACGTATTCATCTCACTAATTTTATGTAACCTACGTCAATTTGCCCTGGCTCAGATAATAATCCTGAAATAAAAGATTCTGCTTTTGATACGCAAATTTCTTTAATAGTTCTCTAAACAGGCTCAAATACCAAGATCAACATCAAGCAATTCCCACTACTATATATAAAACAAAATTAAAATCACTTCCCACATTTTAAATCACCCATTTGAATCGTGCATCAGCTGTCTTCATGTTTCACATCAATGTGACATTTTCATCTATGTTGCATTGTTTTTTAGATAGCTTTGACACTGACCACATCCCCAGTTGTAATTTGCAAAGCAGTGATTGATTCTGCTTCTGGATTTCTGAAGCTAACAATCATTTGAGTCTCATTACAAAACGTGAAACAATGTTTCTCTAGGGTAATGTTCCAAGTATGGCTTGCTATATCTATTAATCTAAATCCCAGATTGCAAATTCTCTGTGTTCACATACAAGTAAGGAACAGCAACAGAAGACAAAAAATTGAAACACTGTTAAGTGACAAAAAATTTTTAAGTGAAAATACAGTATCAACTCGTTCATGTCAACCTATTGATAAAGTTAGCATAATGCAGAAATCATTGACAAATTCTTTTTAACACAATAAGTGATTGAGAGACAGGAATACTGTATTGCTAGATCTCACCTGAAGCCATAGTTTGTTATTTGCAGTATCCCTGCCTGTTGCAATGCACTGAAATGTAGCATTTTGTCCTGCATTTACTTCCACATCTCCAAGTCGCAAAAAGTGAGGCGATTTATCTGTAAAACATTAACATTATGACAAGTTTGTGACAAAGGTCATTTTATATGGATTTGCAGCAGTTCACTGATGACACTTTCAATAGCAATCCTGCAAGATAAATCCAAATCTAAAAGGCAAGTTGTGTGAACATTATCCTTATTTTTGCACGAAAACAACTCAAATTGAATCGCATGCAACCCAACCTTTCAACATATGGACTAATAGCACAGAGTGAGAATGCCAAAGTTGCAGATAACCTGTTATACAGTGACTTAAGCCTTCAATCTATACCAGCTCTATTACCATGTACATCCCCAGCCCTTACCAGTAAAGATTCCAAATACTTGTTTGGATAATGTTAATTTTTTTTTCCAGATTATTACGCTCTCCCTAATTTTTTTCTACAGGTTTCCCAAATTAAACACTTGCCAGTTACGACTAGTGGTCGAGAATTAATGCATTAGTCAGAGAAAGATGCCCTATTATCACATCTTCACTGGTAGATATATATTAGTGCAAAAGAAAAAGTTTAGATATTTTCATCTTCCATGTTGACATAGCCACTGCAGCATCGTCCTACGGTTACCATCATTATAGGCGCCAGTTGTAAAATGTCCCTTTTTTTGTTGAGCTGGAAAATGAAATGCAAGTCAGGTTCTTGTATAGCTGAAATACCAGTAGATGTTTCAAAGTTGCAAAACTCAAGTGGTGCATACTTTTAGCTTTTCAAGGAAGTAATGCTTTCCAAACCAGTGAGAGTGATACTTTGAGACAGAGTGGTACCAAAAATCTGAGTTAAGGAAGGACTGCCTGATGATACCCCTTGGATTGGCTGAGCTGCAGTTTGCTGCAAATCTGTAGATGCAAGGTAGCTAGAGACATCCAGAGCCTGCTAATGAAAACATCTCTCTCTTCCCCCTTCTCTCTGCCTATGTCGGTGAAAAGACAAGAAAACCAACAAAGCTTAAACTCAAGAATTCTAAAAAGAACAAAGATTCACTGAATCAGCCATCAAAGTGAACAATGTCCATTGCTTTACAGAAAACAGCATATCATTAGTGCTAAAAACCAAAGGGAGTTGAGAGAGACAATTTAACCTACCCGTGGTAATCCAAATGAAGACTATACTGAACTACTCCTGTGTGCCTCCTTTTATGACTTGTTCAAAATATCAGGAACAAGTAGCTGGGGAAATTTCCTTGTCAAAAGATCCCCCATCAAACTGCCCAATTTCAATCTAATATTTCTACCTCTTGTTATGACAATTTAATTGCAATTTTAAACCGTTTGTCACAGCTTGTCGAACAGCTGGGCACTCTTTCCAATTTGGTCATGATACAACCTTCAGTCACTCCACACAAAGTTGAGATTGGAGAGCGCATTGATTATACCTGAGGTTATGGTCATGGTAATACTTCAGCAATTGTTTTAAAAACTTGCTGGAGCTACATTTGTAACCAACACTTTCAGTAAAATGACCACACTTAGCTTTTAGACAATGTGGCAACTGGGCCAGATATTGAGGTTGGTTGGCTCGCCGAGTTGGTTTGTTGTTCCGCAGCCCTTCATCAGAGGCTGCACTGAGGATGTTACCAAGCACGGTAACGAAACGTCTGCGGAACAACAAACCAGCTCGGCGAGCCAACCGACCTCAACACCCACAACCCGAGCTACAGATCTACACCAAAACCTTATGGGCCAGATATATTGATACTGACAAAAACAGCTGGTTTTGGCCCTGCGAGTCTACTTCAAATCATCAGCAAAGTGATGGAAGGTTTCATTGACACCTTTCTAAAGCAGCATTTGTTGAGCCACCAGCTGCTCACTGACAGACAGCTTGGGTTCCATCACTGTTTGTCAGTTCCTGATCTCATTACAGCCTTGGTGCAAACGTGAGCATACGAGCCGCATTCAAGATGCATGAGGGCAATTGTTCTTGATATCAAGCTGGGATTTGACAGAGTCAGAACAAGCATAAAGAAACATGGTTACAATTGGAAGTTAATCATCTGAGTCCTGGGAGTTGTGTTCTAGGTACAACCACCTTCAGTTGCTTCACAAATGTCCTTCCGTTCGTTATAGGGTTAAGAGTTCTTCGGTGCTTTAAGAGTTATGAAAATAAGCTGTCTAAATTTGGAATTGTATATAATGGAATAATAGAGATAAAATATAGTCACTCAATCCAAACATTTTTAACATTTGTGTTTTTGATTATTGTTGCTTTTGACATCAATCATAATAATTAACAGTTTTGCAATTTATAAACCAGAAATTAATCTCAAGAGGGCTCACAAAGGAACAAGTTCACTTCTTCAAAGGAACAAAGGTCTAAGCAGACAGCATTTCTGTCTGACCTACATAAGTATCAAAGACTTGACTGGACTGCAAGAAATTTTTGTGCAAGAGTACTTCATCTTAAAAGCAAAGGAAAAAGCTGGCGGAATTGATTCACTGCATGCTTACTCTTGAAACAATGCGATATGCAGTGAATAAATCTGGGGAATGAAAATTAGCTACACCTTGGTGTTCATTCATGGATGCAGACCATTGCTGGACAGAGGGGCTGGCAAGAGCAATTTCACATCAAGATTGAAATTTGTTACTGGGCAACTAAATACCGTTGTAATCTAAAAAAAAAAAAAAGCCTATTTTAAATCCAAACTAGCTGTTCATTTGTTTGTAAAAACCTGAATTCCAATCAAAATTCAGTTCTCGTACTTGTTTGCGCTTTAAACAAGAAACATAATTAATGAGCACTTACCACAAGGGTAACTCAAAACCTGGACGTCGTCAATGGCAATATATCCACCTTGCTCCAGAGATATATCTGCTTCAAAAATCACCTGCAAACAATAATATCAAAAATTGTTAACTCACCAATCTTATCTGATTACTTGTTATCTTTAAAAAAAAATTCTTCCTACCAACTTCCTTTCCTGGAAGCGGGCCTTATTCAATGATGGATAACACAGGAGCCAAAGCTGAGAATTGAAAGCCAATTCAAAACAGGAGAGCGTCTCCCATCTTCACCCAACATTCCCAACAATTGTACAACTCATTTTATGGTGATCTGGTGCAGAGATCTTGATAAAACCTTCGCTCCTATTCCTGCTCCAATTCCTTACAATCTTATTTGCCTCGTCAGCAAATCTGGATACCTAATAATTTCATGCTATGCTCAATTCTCCTTTCCATTAATTCGCACGTTAAGCTTCCAAGTGGAATTTTAACCCCATCACAAACAAAAACGCAGGCATACCTCACAATGTGACACCAGCTAAATAAGAGTTTTACAAATTAGGAGGTGACTTGTAAAAGATATCCTGCTGACATTTTAACTCTGAAGCAGAACATCTAGCTAACAAAAAATATTGCTTTTTTAGCTTGACGCTTGGGCAATAGTTATGTTCCCACAAGTGGCTTCCAATGCTCTTGATTTCAACATAATGCCAAGAAAATTCAGTTAGGAAATTTGAATTGCTTTCTATAGCTCAATAAAAAGGACACTTGCTCAAATCACACAACTGCAAATATTAATCAGCTGTACATTTTCATCAACAGAAAATGCCCTTTTATCAGCAGAGCTGTTCTGATATTGTGCCCTTTCCAAGAACACTATCAGCAATATGCAGCGTGGTCAGGATCCTGTGTATTAAATACTGTCAACACGAGCAAATTCTGATTGTGAAAAGCTATTCAAAGTTAATTATAGTACAAAACAGTACAAAAGGAAGACCAATCTGTGTTTAACTGACAAACATCTGTTTGATGTCTCCCAAACGCAGATTAAATCACATCTTTTCAACGGTAGCTAAGCATAACTTACTTTCCATTAAACTAGGAGGAGGAAAGGAAATATTATCTGTAGATATCTTTCAAGTTAAAGCATCAGAAAAATATTACTATTTACTAGAAGACTGCTAAAATGTTGTTGCATAATAGAAGGAAAAAGCAAGGATGATGGTTTGTTAGTTTTCAATGCAACAGTTCCACCACTTGAGGCTAGGAATGCAATCTTTTCATAATATTCCTTTTGTTTACATCTTAGCCCTATAGAGACTCATCATTTTGAATCTCTCTCTCTCCAGACAGCAGTAATATTTGAAGTGCCCATGACCTTGACGAGTTCAGATGCGAATTTTAGTATTCCCTACACTGGGAATAAAGATATCACTGATTTTCATATGGCTGCCAAAACTGACTGAAAAGCTGGATCTCCACAGGCTGAAAAAAATAGATTTAATAAGATTAACGTTTAAACAAAATGACATTTTCAAGTTTTTGCTTTTAAAGTTGTGGGTTGGGGAGAGCACTGGTACTTCATATTGATAGCACAACGTCCTTGTACTGTGCTTTGCTTCATGCTCAATGTAAAGTATTTGGTGCCAGCTTTCCCAACTTGTCAAAACTCCGATCGATATCAGCCGATCTTTCAATCAGGCCAAAATACACATGCTATTTAGCGCAATCCTTTTGAAGTAAGAATTTGTTTCTATTCATATATCCTCAGCAGATTGGCAGAACCATATGAACAGCGATATGAAATTACGGGTCCAGGTACAATCAAAACTCTCTAATCAAAAACTCTCAGATTCTTCACATCAATTTCTCATTCTGACCTTAAACAAACCGCATACTTGTAAACAAAGACAACAAATCTGAAGGCATTCAATGAATGGCAAAACTAGAATAATTTAGTTCTTAAAATATGCAGTTATTTAGATCAATGTACAAGTAGGGATTTCATGACTGGATTAACTGTTTCACTGGTGAGAAGCAAGCATGATTGTGCTCTAAATGGGATAAACAGTAAATTCGTTTCTATTAAAGATTAGTGGTCAGTTTTGCAGTACTAGCAGGTAATTAGGAATGGATAAAATAACAACCCTATGTTGTCTGATTACTTTTAGCATGTTGCAGCTCTTAACCATCCAACTCCACCACAAAAGCATACTATCCCCACCAACCCCACCCATGAATACAATGGTCCTTTTTAGGATTTTCCCAAAAGACTAGTCAAAATAGGAAACTAGTGCATTACAGAAGATCAAGCCATTCTGGTGTTTTTTTGATTTGCTCATGGTTGACTGTAACTGACAAAGCCAGCATTTGCTGCCCATCCCTAACGCCCAGCTTGCTGGACCACATCAGATGACAGTTAGGAGGGTCTGGAGTCACATAAAGGTCAGACCAGATAAGGATGTCAAATATCCTTCCCTAAAAGAATCAACGAACCGGATGGGCTTTATGACAGTCAGTGATGGTTGTCAAGATCACCATTACACATTACATAACTTCACATGCTAGATTTATTAATGGACTTTAATTTCCACCAGCTGCCATGGTGAGATTTGAACCATGTCCCCAGAGCATGAGACGGAGCATGTAGTTTACTAATAGAGTGACATTACTACTGCACCACCATCTCAGCCCATGTCTACTTTCTTGCCAACAAATGAGAACAATATCTCTTCATTACAAGAAGGCTTCCTCTTATAAATGGATAGGTGGAGCATGCATGGGACATATGCCAGTCTAAAATGGTGATGAAGGAGGAGATGAAATACAGGAAACACCAGACGCACAGCCTGATAGCAATTTGACCAAAACCATATCCCAAACAAAATCAGGTTGAAACTAAGCCTACCCTCTACTGCTGCAGAAAAGAACCCAACAATGCCCATCACTATGTTTCCAACACACTGAATACCTCCTGAAAAAGACTATGACCCAGAGGCAATGGCTAAGATCCCAAAAAGGTGCATTTACTGGTTATAAGTGACCAATCAAGTTTCTACAACGTGGAAACATGTAATTACAGAGATAAACTGGAAAGCCCTAAATTAATCCTTCAAAGACATCAAAACGAAAGGAAGTTAAATTATACACTTATTTGTAATATTTATAGAACAATTAAAAACTAGGTGAATTTAGCTACGGAGTTTTGACAATTATCAACCAAGTGAACCAAGTCAGTAAAGTGACATTTTTATTAAAGTTCACTGCAGGGAACAACTAGAGCCATCCTTTCTAATCAGTGAAAATGCTATTTAGTTTTGCACGCTATGTACCACTTTCGTCGTAAACCTTATTACAATGCACAGTCTCCTCTGCTGAAATACTGTAAATCAATACACACTATTAAATTTAAAAGAAAACTGTGGTACAAAAGTAACCAGTAATTGAAAGTGAATTAACATCTTGCTTTAATGACAAACTGGTAAGAGAAAAAGTCACCTCAATATTCAAACAATCCTGAAAAGCTATTATGAATACAAAATACACTGCTATCAATTGTCAGAAAAAACAACAGCAAAATAGAGTAGTATTTATGAAAGTGGAAAATTTATGAAAACTAAATTGAATATACTGTGATGCCTATACAATGCGAAAAACACACAAATACACAAAATTACTGAGTTATTCGATATGGAAGCAATGCCCTCATGTGAGTTAACATACAAGATGGATGAAATTTGTTGTACTGTTAGCCTCTTTTTCGTTTGTGAGCGGTCTTAATCACATGGCACATACTGTTTCAGGTAATCTTGTTAAACAACCAAGGTAACCTGTAGGTGGCATAATATGCTAACAATGCCAACAGTAAAATACCATAACTACTGCAGGAAAGAGTACACCAGTCTCAGTAAATTGCAGCAAACTTCTCAGTCTCTCCACATAAAATCTCTGTCAGACAGCTCACCTATAACTCATTTGTTTGGCTATGCAGAGGCTTGTAAAATACATGACCCTGCAGCTCTCAAAGGGATGTGACCTGCCATTGAAGGGAAAGCAGTCATAAGAAACTGAAAGTACTCATTGTGCACAATGGTGCAGGCTAGACATTTCAGCAACACTGCACTCTTTTATTTGAAGAGTTAGAACCACACTAAAGAGGCTGGTGAAGTGAAAACAAAGTTCAGATGTTACAAGTCTGAAAGAAAAATGGAAAATGCCAGAAATACTCAGTAAGTCTGTCAGCGTTTACAGAGACAGAAATAGTGTTAACCTTTCGGGTTGATTATCATTCATTAGATCTGGACAAATATAGAAATGCTGAAAGGTGTTTTAATTAAGTAGACGTGGGGAACAATGGAGGGTGGTCAAGAAAAAAAATGTGAAGGTCTTCGGTGGAGTGTAAGGCATGGGACATTAAAGGGATGATACTGCAAAGCAAAAGGAGATCACAATGGACAATTAAAGAAACAAAAAATGTGGAAGGTTAAATCATAAGGGCTGATGGTGTTGGAAGTAATATACTGATGTGAATGGAGAACTGACGAATGGGCAGGAAACAGCAAATGGGGATCAGGGTACTTTTTTCGGGTTTACAACCTGTAACCAGTGGGGTTCCTCAGGGATCAGGCTGGCACTGCAACCGTTTACAATATATATTAATGACCTGAGGGAGGAAACAAATGTCCTCCAGCCAAATTTGCATTTGACACAAAAGTAGGTGGAAAGACAAGTTGTAAAGGAGATAGAAGTTTACAGAAAGATAGGTTAAGTGAGTGGGCAAAAAGTTGGCAAATGTAATATAATGTTGGAAATGTGAAGTTGTTCATTTGGAAGGGAGAACAAAAGAATAGATTATTATTAAAATGGAGAAAAGCTGCAACACAGTGATTTGGCACTACTTTTTTATAAAACACTGAATGCTAGCACACAGGTGCAGCAGGTATTCAGGAAGGCTAATGGGTTGTTGGGTCTTATTTCAAGGGGTTTGGCGTGTAAGAGGAGGGAAATCTCATTACAACTGTACAAGGGACTGATGAAACCACATTTGGAGTACTGAGAGCAGTTTTGGTTCCCTTAGAGTCATAGAGCAGTACAGCATGGAAAC